GTAGGAGGAGGTGTAGCTTTTTGTGCAAGGGACAAACATATATGGAAATGTATTGCTCGTTTGTCCATTACTAAAACACCTGCCTAAAGAGAAAAGGCTATTGGGAAACACAATTGTATCAATTTCTAAACAAAAATGCTTTTGGTGACTTTTCCCTAATCAGTTTTCCACTTAAAAATGAGTGGCAGATGCACAACATCCAGATTCCAGCCTTGGAAAGCCGACCTTGTTTGGCTGAGTCCAACAAGCTTACACGCTAGAAAGCAAGGTGCTCTCCCTCAGCAGAATGAACTGAAGCGTATTTGAACGTTTAATTTCAAAATGTTTTTAGTTACAAAAAGTTACCATTTCAGGGTTTATTTGCTAGTGAGAACAAATCTCATTGAATATTTTTTTTTTTTTGAAACTTGATTTGATTTTTTAAGTTTGAGGCTTGAATTCTATGCTGTATATTGTAACCCAGTTTCCAACCAGCTGTAGTAACGATTCACACATGACCTGCCAACGTACTTAAAAAAAAATCCCACTGCTTCAGTGGATCCCACTAAAACATGGCAATGGTGGGCATACATTCACACTCCCCCAAACACTTCTCCTGCCTTTATGGTCCACTGAATCTAGTACACGTGCTCAACTTCTGCTGATGTTATCACAGAAGTTAAATGACTCCTCCCGCCCCACTAGAGAATTAAGATACAGTACACGGATAGTATCAGGTAAGGGTCCCACCATTTCTTACTGTTACAAATAAAACTCCACCCACCAATAGCTGGGTCACGTGAGTTACAGCAGTACAGTTGCCGTCAGCCTTAACCTTAAAATATATCAACTGTGGTTAGTCTTTACCCAGGGAGAAAATATGTCACTCCGTTGAATACGAGAGCCAAATAACAAGACTTGGACCATAGGACAGAAGGCCTACAGCTGGATTAGAATATCCCGAGCCTTCTAAAATTCCAATTGTACAGACTTGTTAGTTTTTTGGAAATGCAGCGATTGCCTAAACAAAACTCCACTTCTTGTTAGTACAATAACTTTTATTTGACATCTACAAGATGGTTATCTTGTAGGGGTTTTTTGGACAGGTTTATACAATCTCAATTTTCAATAGTGCAACCTGTGCAAGCAAGAAATGACAAACATTGTCCTTCACTTTCTTATAAACATCTACTATTATAGGCAAAACAAAACTTATCCATATTATAGATAAGTAACTATTCACATTTGTACATTACAATTTCTTTTAAACAGCTCCAGATAAACTCTACAATGTCTTACAACATATGAAACAGTATTCAAGTTACCGGGTAACAGAAACAGCACATACAGCGGAACCCTCAAGTGTTTCCCACTGTCTAATTTACAGCTCAAGTACGGTTTCATCTTACAAGTGACAAATTAAATTACATTAATGAAGTAAAAAATATAAGATTGTATGCGAGATGGAAGTGAATTTGCACTTAGTTTTCATAACCACCTCAGATTAAGGAAATATTTAACTTTAAAGGAAAATAGGCTTTTAGCCATCTTTGCAGCACACATTAGGAATACCATTAATACATTAAAAAATGAACTAACTTTTTAATTTAAGATGTTTATCACAAAAAGAACATTGCAGACTCAAATATATAACCTCCAGGAGAGAACCAGAAAAAATGCAATACCTGGGTATAAACACTATAAAAATGCAATAATCAATGCTGTACAACTAAGATTGTGTTTCTCTCCGAATTCTTGTCTTGTGTGTTTATCCTGTTCATGCCCGTTTCCAAAGACATGCACTGTCAAACAGAAACTGGGAAAGAACCTGAATGCATGATGTGCAACCGCTAGGTTTCATGCTTTTATAAACTTACAAGTTGAAGAGAAAAAACTCAATATATATTTTCTATATATATACTCAATACATGCATTCAAGGATATCTCCCACAGCAATGGCATTGATGTACTGCGTTAAACCCTGAGCACTGTATGACAAGATCAAATAAAGCCTGTTGGGGGGATTTTCAAGCATTTTCAAACAAATTGTGGTCTGTAGCATAAAAGGCCAAAAGTAAAAGCAGACAGGAAGCACTACAGAGAGCATAAGACAGATGCACCACCATAAGCAACTGCTGGCTTGCAGTTCTACCATCCTTTGTGTATTTCTATTCCCAAAGTGTTTCTGAGAGCACACAACTGAACTGAATAAAGTTATATTTCTTTGGAATCTGTCCCTGATTTTTATGCAAGTGATATGCTTTTACAGCCTTTGCTCACACACCAAAGTCAACACCTGGCGCTTGTCCTCTTAGGCGTTGTTGAAATTGGTGATGCTCTGTGGGTGATGCTGCTGCCATATCTGCTGCTGTTGTACTGCAAGCTGCTGAGACTGGTCTGACGTCGACAGGAGGTTTACAAGGGGCGATACACAATTTGCAGGAATGATCAAACCTGTAATTAACAACAAGTCAGTTGTGCTTCCTCAGCATGCCAACGTTTTATACATTAAGAACTTGGGTCAGTGGTTCTCGGTGCCTTAAGCTTCATTTATGCTGTCAAAAGCCACAGCTGGGGGTAGGTTCAACAAGCGGTTTAGCCATATGGAATTGTACAAACTCCAACAGCTCAGCCCTGCAGAAGTGTATCTTGTGCTGCAATTGAGGGCCTGCTCTTCGTCACAAAAGGGAAAGGAGCACAGTCTGAGAACTAGGGCTGGAAAATGTCCTCTTGGAGCATAAGGGGAGAAAAGCAGATGCCCTGGGACACAAGTGCTCTTGCCTTTTTAATTTTATTTTTTGAGAACATGGATCCTGTGATAAACAGCAAGAGAAAATGGCCATTTACAGAGGTGGGCAGACAGCCATCTGTTTACTCCAGAGGGTCTGCTCTTTAGTCTGAAGGGACTTACCACCATGGCAAATTCCCCCTTTTTTTTTCTTGGCCCTTCAGCCATTTCAACTCTGGCTTACTACCAAGTCAAGCTCACAGGATTGGTTAGGAAAATGTCTTCCGTTTTCAGATCGCTCCGAAGCAGGTGGTACTACAGGTGTGATTTTTAAACTTAGCAATCCACAGGAAGGCCTGTTCTCCTGTAAAGATACCTTGTAGGCCTCCTGCACAACTCTCAAGGTATATGGACAGGAGAGTTAATGCCAGCAGGGAGAAAATTAACACAGCAGATAAACCTACTTACCTACAATCCTCTGTCCATCTTCTGTTCTTAGCCGAACTATCTGCATTTTCACATTTGTACCACTCACAGAGGCTAAAACTCCTTCTACTTTTGTCCAGACACTTAGTACTGAACCACACAGGACATAGTATGTTCGACACCGGAGGCCAACTTCACAAACTAATCCCAGGCCTGCTTTCTTACAGTTGCCTCTCCTGGTGGAAAAAAGGTGTTCTTTTAAATTCAAATGAACACTTTTACAAAAGTTCAAGTCAAGCAACTACACACGTTTATTTCATAATCATTACCGGTATTCAGTATCCACTTTAAAGAATGTGTAAAGAATTAAGATCCTCAAAAATGCAAAGAGCTGGATAATGAGATGGAAATAAAATTTATCCATGTCCATAAAATGCCTTTCAGTGTGAAGTCTCAAGCAGCTGTTAGTATACTTAGAACTGCAGCCTCAGCTGTTGTAAAAAGGCACAGTTCCAACTTAGATGCACTAATTTACACCAGCTGAACATCTACTTTCTAATGTGGGTTAGAGAGAGATGGGGAGCGGCAACTTACTCAGTAAACAAGGTCACAACTTGTGACACTAAAATTCCTGACTTTTGGGAAGTTCAGAGGCTGAGAGCCGAGCTGTGCTGCATAACGAGGGGACTCAGAACTAAAGCTAGTTTTCATGAGTTTCACTGTATAAAACTAGTTAAAGGGGATCACATATAAACTTGGTAACTCGGTTATAGCCAATGTATTCCACTGATCAGATCAATATGCTTACTGAGGCGTGAGTAATTAAAAGTGAAGTCACAATCCTTAAATAAGTTCCTAGTTTCAACTGCCTTAAGGAGAGAGGTTGCCATTCACCACTTGGAACTGTTCGTGACTGAAATTTCTTCAAAGTGAGCAATACTAGATTTTGGAATTTATGACTGAGATCGGTGAATGTGATCACATATCAGATTTAGCCAGAGACCTTAGCTGAAAACATGTTTAACAGCAAAAGTACTAACCAATAAGCATGAGTACAGGTATCCGCAGAAGAATTGTACTGCTCTAGCCAGTGTGGCAGAGCATCTTCAGAAGGTACCTGAAAAGCCATTTAAAGTTGTGTTAAAATGTTACACACCATTTCTGAACACTCGTACAGAACAGCACACTATTTTATACTCATGTCTAAGGTCTAGGGGCAGCATTTAAAAGACTATGATTTAAAAAAAAAGGAAATAACTGATCAAGCAAACTATCACTCGTTGTTACATCCAGTTACATCTATCCATGGAAACAGTTTCAAACAAGGGTAAAAAAAATAAAACCTTCAGCACTGCAGAACCATGTGACTGACTGAGATACTGACTGGTGAATGACAGAACTTTACATTTCAAACCTGAAGAAATGAGGACAACTGGACTCTGTTAATTGGTTCTTCTGAGCATTAATTTAAACTAACACCTCAGTTGCTAAGAATTATTTTCACAAGAACATGAAGTATGCATCTGTGGTGAAAATACGATCTTGCAATTTCAGGGCTTCAGAGACAGTAAGCAGGGGACTAAAACTTCATAAACAGTTTGGGTATAATAAACTATAACTCACAAAAACCCTTTTAAAGTAAATTTTTTGCAAACTAACTGCAAAGGGATTATCTCCTATTTGATGCCACAAAGTACTTCTATATTATAGAAAGGCTTAGTTTTATTAAGTTTTGTATACCAGAAGTTGAAAGTGCGTGGGCCGTCTGGCAAAACCCAAGAGAAGACAACTAAAGAAATTTTCTGAAGGAAGTTTATACTACATGATTAATTAGCTAAGACGTTCTGAAACTTGCCAGCTACTTTCACTTGTAATAAAAAGCTTACGTTTTCCTTCACCACAAAGCAAATTTAAGTAATCTTGTTTTAAAAGGCTACCTTCTTATATTTCTTTTTCAGGTCTGCGTAAGTTTCCAGTTTGAGTTGTTTCCCAGTATTTGGTCTGTATACCAAGAAAAGCTTCTTTTTGGGATTCACTTCTTTTACCAGGATGGCAGTTTTCTTGTTATTTCTTATCTAGAAGGGAATGCTGAATTATTGAATTGCATGTACTTTAAATTGTTGATGTTCTGAATATTTTAAAAAGATTCACATTTTTTATTTAAGAGATTGAGTTACAAAGTTTAATTCAGGCAGCTTAATTTATTACAGTTTATTAGGATTTTATCTGAGAAAGCTGCAAAGGCTGCGGCACACTTACCTGTAATGATAAATAAAATCCATCATCTGGTCCAGTCTGCTCTGCCCAAAACTTAGTTCCTTCTTCCCAGGACATTCCTCTCTCTACACTGATCTAGAAGAGACATTATAAATGTTTAACTGCTACAAGCTTTGGGACATTTACTGACAAATAACAAAAACACCACCACAAAAACAAAATTGGGAAAATGGCAAAGACAATGTTTTTGGAAGACCAGGAACCAATTTTTTTTCACTACTGGGTGAGCAATTTATAGCCTTGGTGGAACACTAACAATACTTGATTTCCAAGGACAAAGTTTTCACAATTCAGTTAAAAGATCAGGTTAAATTTAAAACTTACTGTGTATAATTCGACATGTCCAGAGGTAGAATATCCTGGAGTTAAAAATTTCTTAACATCCGTCTTCCTCACTTTCTCATCCCCAGAACCCAGATCTTTTAAATAATAAAATAAATAAATAAATAAAATAATAATAATAATAATAGATGTTACGCAAGAGAAGCAGTGTATAATTTAAAAAAAGCAAAAAGTCAACTTCAGAAATTTGATTTACTTACCTAAAATCCCCATGTCATATCTTCCATTCTTTTTAGCATTTTGTATAACTGCATTTAGCGTATCAGAGAAATACTGGAATAAGGCATTCTGCTGATGCACCTCCATACCCAAAATTCTATTCAGGAATTTTCCTATATTGTTATAATCTAAAAAGAAACATTATTTCAAAACTTGGAGCTTCTAGGTATACAGGCAAACAAAACCTAAAGCAGTATTTTTTGAAACAAAGCAAGCATCTTAGTACATTTTTTTTTAAAATCTGGGCACAAGTAGATTAACAAGTTTCAAATGGTGCTACACTTGCTCCTGGTTCTCATTAGCAATTTTGTAACAACTGCAGAAACTATTTCTGAATGGGCAAGTTATTCACCTGCTACCAATGCTTAAAAAAAAAGCATCAAAACCAATACCTTTGTCAAGTGTTAGAATTCCAGATCTGTCTTCTACATTTATCAGGCCCACACCTATTAATCCTTGCCGGACATCTAAGAAGAGAAAAAGTTATGTTACTTGGACTGAAACCACCCCTCTGAGCAAACATGAAAATGGCTAATCAGAGCCACCTGTGATTTCTTTTGGAGCAGCAGATAAATGAAGCTCCCACTCCAATACCCAATTGCAAACCTTTGCATATCCAAATACATAATATGACTGATCCATGCGCCAAAACATTAACAACAACACAGAGCCTTAGTTAACGGTCTTAGAAAATACTGGCATTACTATATATGCTCAACAGAAGAGCAAAAATAGAAGGGTAACAGTTGTTTTTCTTTTTTTAAATCGTTGGTGGCAGTACTTTGGTAACATAAGTAGGTGCAGACAAGATGTTAGTAGTCCCTGAAACTGATGTCCATTGCAGAAAACCATTTTAATCCCTACTTTTCTTTTCACAAACCAAACCAACATCTTAAATATTAGCAGAAATTATATTCTTCTGTTATCATGGGAGGACATATTCTCTTACTCTAGAGAAGACAGCGTTCTGTACAGGAATTTCAAATTCACAGATCACACTCAATCTGAACAGAATCAAGTCACTTGGTATCAAGAATAATTGCTTCAATTTAAAACCTAATCCGCTAGCCTGATGAATATGGAAATAAACAATTCTTTTAAAACCAACCAACCAACCTCAACAAAAAGCTAGCAACAAGAACATACTAACTTCTATTTACCCTTAAAGAAGTCTCCTGGATAGTCAGCAGGCGGGGACACCATTGGGGAATCTAAATTCACAATGGATTTCATAACAATTTCCAAAGCATTTCTGCCATACTGCATAAAAAAAAAAAAATTACATCATGATTTTGCACAACATACATACATGGATTTAACCAACATTTTAAATCTATTGTTTGTTTGTTTTTTAGTTTAGATTTTTCTTTACATATGACCCAAAAATTCATGGCTTATTCTAAGTGAATGACCACAAACTGCTTGGGATTAAAACCTCAACCCTTATCTAGCACTTTTTATAAAATTATGGCACTCTATACAGTCACACTGTCTCTAGAGGACTACAGTTTTCCATGGCACTTTATACCACAGAGTAAACACTATATACTCCAAAAGCAGACAGAATTTAAGAAAAAAGCAAAACCAAAAGAGTTCACTAAGGGATGGAGAGGAAGGCCTCCTGCCACAGGCAGGTAGTTCTAACTTTTTCTAGTATTTTTACTGAAACAAAGAAAGCAGTCACCTTGTTGTCGAAGTTGAACCTGCTAAGGTCTCGAGTTTCTGTAGCCCTTCTGTCTCCATGAGTGAGAGCCCCCTGTCAAGAAAGCACCTTGTAATTATAAAGACACAAGGAACCCTGTACTGGGGGAAAAATACCTATGTTTTATTTGAGTATGAACATGCCTTACCAAACTCTCCAATCTTTTTGCAACAATAGATGCAAATCTCTGTTCTCCTGCCAATTCAGAAATGAGGAACACATACTCTGGAGCAGTAACTTGATTTGACCTATGGGTTCTTCCTGCATAATTAAACACAATGAAAAACATATTACACAAATCCCAATGAGCAGCTCTTCAGAATATCTTTCATAAGAAAACTAAAGGAAGTTCCCAGAATTGCAAACAAGCAATAAAAGACCATTCATTTAACTTTACGGTGCAATGTATGCAAGTTGAGTGTCAAAGCAGCATGATCAGAATCTGCCAAATTTAGAGAAACTTCTTACATATGTATAACTGTTAGATAAATCCTTTGAAGAGAAACAAGTAAGCATTATACACAGAGAGGAAAAAGTCTAGGCATACACATGGAGTAAAGCACATCACATCAGCCTCAGTCAGACATCTGGGTGCATAGAGAAATTCTATTCCTGCTTGTAGACAGGGGAAGCTTAGTTATTTATATGTAAGCTAACCATTTCTTTTGTACTAATAAAAGCCTAAAAAAACAACAAAAAAGTGTTAGCTTTGCTGTGAATATTTCAGTATTTACTGTAAATAGTATAGCAAAACCATGAACACAAACATTCTGAATCTGATTACTTCATAAAAATGCACAGTAAATACAACACAATTAAGACAAATATGTAAGCATCTAGTGTAATAATTGTTTTTACCTACTGGAGTGCAACAAAACCCACTATAGGTAACAAAATGAAAGACCCAATGGCTGAACTTGATACCGTATGAATGTGTGATGTGCAATACACGGGTTCTGAACTGGCTGAATTAAAACCAGAAGTTACTCACCAAATTGCTGTATTGCTCTATCTGCACTCCATGGCAACTCCAAAGTCATGTGCACCCTCCGCCTCTGATTCTTAGCTCTCCGGTCTGCTTGTAAAGAGATACCTGAGCTGGCAGCTTCAGAGATGATGGCAATGTTCTTAAAACAGATGAAATACAACGGCTAGTTAGCAGTACATTTGAGAGCAAACCTGGGTTTCCAGATGTGTAGAAACTCAGCAAATTTTGAAGTGCTAACTGTTATTTGATCCCAAGTGTTAATCATGTGGGGAAGGCAAGAAGGCTGGTGTTCAATCCATGTCATTAAGTTACAAACAGTGGAGACAATCTGAGAGCAAGAGGGGTTTGTTACTTTATCTTCCAGCAACTTTTTTTTGGCAAACCTGCATCCAGTCTTGCCACATCAAAAGGGAAGTGTTATGATAGAACCCCATGATTCTTAAAGGAAAAAAGGCCTTATTGCAACCTTTGTCCCCTTTCTATAGGGGTGGTGGCTGGCATTTGAAAGTGTATTTATCTTAAAGACAGGTATAACAATGCAGTCACCTTTTCATTTCATTGCGAACAATACTTATTTCCATAAAGGTGGTAAAAAAAATACAACAACTCTGCCAACAGCTAGACCTGCAAAATTTAATTTAGGAGGCTATAGCAATTTTAAGCATTTTAAAAACTATGTTTCCATTTGGAAGCTTGTAGAAGATGAGGATGCAGGGCTGAGAGACAGAGCACAGTGCACGTGGTCTCAGAGTGGGAGGAAAACCATGGTTCTGTTCTGGGAGGACTGAAGCTAGGGGACAAGACACCTCTGGGGGCACATTTGAAGAGGTCAGTTATGAGTAAGAAAAGCAACTAGCCCTATAACCAGAAGTCTCCTCGTTTGGCTGAGAGTGAGCAACACTCTGCAGACTCTCTCTGACTGTGCAAGTAGTAGAAAGATACCAGAACTGATTATGGGAGCTGGCAGATCTGCAAACAGAGCAAGAAATGAGCAGACCTATGTGCTGTCCAGTGGTGCTACTCTTAGGTGCCTCCAGAAATACAGAGCACAAAACATGCCATAGCTGATCAGACCCCATAGTCTGTGTCCCACGCCCAGTATTCTTTGGCAGTGGCCAGCATCAGATACCCCTAGGGAAGGAAACCCATGCTAGGAAGACATTTGGTTTCATGAAGATGTCCTTCTAACCTTCAGAAGGAAAAAAAAAAAGCTTAGACCTTGAACTTTAAAAAGGTGTTGCATCCTTTTTAAAATGTTAGGATTAAATATTTCCAGGCATTCTTATCCATACCATCTAGTCCCTTTCTTGAAGGTTCCTAATTCTTGACTTTGATGCCCTCCTGTGGCAGTAAGCTCCAGCTGGATTACGTTGCAAGAAAAAGTATTTGCTTTCATCAGTTTTGAAGATATCATTTGGTTAAACTGAACATCCCCTTCTTGTTAGAACAGGAGAAGACAAAAGCTACTCAATGGTGCTCTATTATTATAGAATCTATTATTATAGATCTTGGCGTGTTGGGGTTTTTTTAAATCTTTTTTGTATGATAAATCCATCTTTTTCAGTCTTCCAATTTTCTTCAAACCAAATAACTCGTGTTCTTCCTTGCATCTCTCTAATTGAAAAATGGCTTTTTTGGAGATAGAGGTGACCACAATTATACTACACTACCCCCAGAAGAGGCTCTAACACAGCAAGGAAGTAGGAAAAAAAGCTTTACATTTAAAAAAAAAATGGATGATGCATCGAAAGTCCCTGTAGAAGCATCTATTTGAAATGAACAGTTCTTTCTAATCAGAAAGTGTTTATTAAACCTAACAGTTAAAGTCCCACCCTTAACAGAAAGGGAGCTTGACCTTCAGGGCATGCCATAGCCACATACTACTAGGGTTACTAAGTACCTAGGGTTTTGAGGAGTGAAGCGCTATAGATTACTGTGGTACATATCTTCTAGATAGCCCTAATATTACCACTGTACTATACTTCCAGGTGATTTTCAAACTGCTACTTTAAGAATATAGCAACCTATATCCTGGTCATAAGTCCTCTTACGTGTCTTAAAACCTCTCGAAATAATATAGAAAAACATGTACCTTATCTCCATCCATGAATCTCTGCTTTTCGGTGATGTTTAGAATTTCAACAGGCACATCAAGCTCAGATCTTGACTCATAAGATATGCTGCCATCATCATTGCTTACAACTCTCCCTTTGCGGCCTGTCATCTTTAAAATAAAGTAACATTTTAGGCTACACGTTAACACAGAACTGTCCATGTAACAGAAATTTCAAATTGAATATCCAAGGCCTCTGGCTGAAATGCACTTGGAAATAGGAAGGGGACTGTAAAGCCAGTTGTGTAGAAGGGATGAGGACCACAGTTGTAGAGCTCTACCGACTGACATCAGAAGCCTCATTAGTAACCAGGCAATTTCATATGCTGTGGCAATAATTAAAGTCTTTGAATGAACCCCCACTCCCCAAATCCTAACATTCAGTAAGCAGAAGTATGAAAGGCTCCACAGGGATTAGAGTTTAGCACTTTACACCCTAGATTAAAGAGTCAGGACCACCACATAAAAGGGAGGCCAGTAATTTTGGAAGGAGTAATTTAAAAGTATGAACAAAACTTTACTGAACTTTACAGGGTCTTTGAGACCAGAAATAAAGGATTTATTGTGGACAGACAAGCATCCTTCTGGAAAGGTGGTGTCTCAATTGAGAAAGCAGGTAAAAAAAAAAAAGCGCCAATTTATGAAGCTCACCCATGCCCTCACCCTCTCATTATACAGCTCTGGGTCTTCCTTGCCTGAATGGTAGAAGCTGAGAATAAGAAGGGAACAGGATCATCCTGTATTATTTATACTCATCAGCTAAATACAAGCAGTCAGGAGAGCAAAACTGCGTAGAGAAAACCATGAAGAAGCCAGTGTTCCTTGCCCAATGAGAATGCACCTTGTATCCAGCACCATAAGTTGGGAAGTACTATTACATATGATTCCTAGTCTCCTCAACCTTAATCACTCAGATCCCTTCTGTACTTTTTTTATTCCATTTTATTGTACTTGGGGTAAAAAAACATTTTACCAAAGCCACAAAACTAACTCCTTGCTTACCAGCTCAATTCTGTTCTCCATTACACAGCTGCACAAAAAATACTCTGTGCATGAATTCACTGCAGCCAGTTAGCATGCCATCATTACTTAATGAAATAAGGGAAGTACCAAGTTCTTAACTTGTAATTATATGAACCTACCTCTGCCACATTCTCGGGACCACCAAGTTCATCTATAAGTTCATCCAATGTATTAGGTGGGAGATCTTCTGCTAGTTTTTCCAGTTTGTCAAGCAATTCTTTTTTCATCTGTTGGGCTCTTTCAACAGCATCTTGGCTGGTTACAAAGCTGTTGTTGGTATTACTGTTAGCTGAAAATTAGAGACCAAAAAAAAAAAAAAGTTAAGCAATTACGTTTTTAATGGTTAAAATGACTGAAGACACAGAAGACATTCCACAAACAAACTCAAACTTGTTCATACCTGATGTATTAGTAGTAGAAGTAGTAGTACTAGCAGTGGAAGAAAAAGAGCTAGGACGCTTTGATCCAAGACCAGAAGCTAATAAGGCACTTTGAATAGAATCAGGGTCTATACTTTTCTTCTTTTTCTTTTCTTTATTTTTCTTGTGGTCTTTTCTAATTAACCAGGGATCTGAAGTTAAATAAAATATACAGTAAATGCTTGAAGTAGCTTCAAAACCAGTCACTCCCCACTTTCCAAACTTTTTTTTTTTTTTAAATTACAAACCCCCCTTGCATCTGCTAGTTAAGATTTTAGGGCACAAAAGGAGTTTAAAACTGGCTGTAAAATGACAATGCCAGAGCTATCATCTTTTCAGCATCACTAGAATAATCTACAGTTTTAGATTATACATTTATGATAAAGTTTTTTATTTTGTCTTGTATTAAAGTGCTTAGGTCAAATTCATATAGGAAGTATGATATTTGCACATATATGGCTAGAGGCTCAATGAAGTTAATCCAGGTTCCCTTACCATCTTCATCATCTTCACTGGATTCATCTCTAAATGGGTTAAAGTCATCATCATCTCCAGAACTCAAAAATTTAGAACTCTCATTGTCACTCTCTTCATTGTCCAAGGCATCAGATTCGCTCTCACTTTCGTCAGAACTGCTCCCAGCCAGACCACCTGTTTTACGAGCTTTCTTGGCTTCTCTGGTTATTTCTTCACCTACTCCACACAAAAATATAAAATGAATTGAGTTGCAGATATTTTATTCTTTTTTGCACAATCTGCCTTCCTGTCACTCCAACGGCTAAGAAAAGGAAACCTCAGAATTAAAAGTGAGTGCCAACTTTAAGCAAAGTTAAGTAACACAGAATGCTGATTATAAAAGATTATATTGAAAAGATAAGATATCCAGTTCTAAGTTTTGGAGAATCTTTAAGTTTTGCGAATCGTTTCCTGGAGACTGGAGTCCACTTCATTTTGAATACATCTTTCCAATGTTTACAGAATTCCATTTTCAGTTAATCTTAAATCAGTTCACATGCAACTCATGGAAAAAAAAATGTTCTCCAATTCTGTTTTTTCCCCCCTCAATTTAGAAGTCATTCAAATGGCTCCAATTAAATAAGAATTGTTAAAACCAACACTTGAAATAAAAATTATAAAATTACTGAAGTACTTTAGCAGGAAAGGCCAAGGAAACAGGCTTTTAAAGTTGCAAGCCTGTAAAACTAATGAGTGGATGTGCACAGGAATAAGACTTGGAACAGCTACAATTTAAAAAGACAGGTTAACTGCTATTTTGCTCTCTTTCAATATTTTCACAATATTTGCTGTTTTCCAGAATTTAGCTAGTTTCATTACTTCAGTTTCTAAAAACTAAAGTTGTAGTAGGCAGTTCTCTTAGAAATATCAGTTGGAGAAAGCACATAAAATAACCTAAGTTCACTATAAAGAGGAGCTCAGGATCTTTTTGCCACAAGACAAAGTTATGAGGAACATTTTAAAAATAAGTGTACTTACTTCAACGTATCTACCAAGTGTTTACAAATTCTGCACTCAGTGTAAGTTTGGACTAAAAACAAATGATAGGATTTAGGGCTTCGGTTGGAAACCAGTGGAACAGTTTCGGTACCTTCGATTTACTACCTGTAAGAATGCTAGTTTATACAAACTGCTGTAATCCCAGTCTTGGACGAACATATGTATGCCCATATGTGAATGCCGGTACTCTCTGCCCCTCAAAAAGCTTATTGGATGTATACCTCCTATATATAAATTCAAGAGTTGACATTTCCACAACTTCACTATAAATATACAACAGATGAAACCTTACCTTTCCGTTTCTTCATTTTGTTCTCCTTACAAGGACTGTCCCTGGGTGAATTGTTGTTACTCTGAGCAGTCAAATCAATCCCCAACAAGCTAAAAAGTTTTTTCCTGTCAGGAGCTGGAAAGTGCTTCTCAATAAGAGACTGGAATACTCCTCTGTGCAAAGAACAACAAGAATTAGCGTTACTCCAACCCAGCTGCATTTTTCAAAATGGAGAAATGTATGTAATAATCCAATGACTTTCTTTTTATTCTTCCAATCACTGAATAAACAGTTTGAATTTCATTTTACGGGTGTAGTGAATGAAAACTGTACTACTCCATCTCATCACCCTACCAAACGCTGTTATGGGCATTTATTTTATAGCAGTGTTTCAGGACACTGGCATAAGTTTTTAACCAGAAACCTTAAAAAGCTCTCTGGTTTCAAACACCAATTCTCAATTGTTTTTTCTTCCTCAGTTCAAAAGTTCAGACATATTTGAAGTCAAATCACCCACTTAATCTTCATCAAGCTCTTCTCTTGATGGGATCTGTTTTTTCCAATATGGGTGAAATACAACATGATTAAATCATTGCTCTGTATCATCTGAGAACTTGTCTGACATCCCAGTTTCTCTCACTTGCTTTGAGAAGATCAGTGCAAGTCAGCAACAATTTTTTAAAAAGTAACTTAATACAGTGCAGGCAACGCTGCAGCTATCTAACATTTCAAAATAGCAATACAAAAAAATACTGAACGCAAAACCAAAAGGGAAGCATAAATTACATGCTAATCTGTTTTGGAGTGTGGCTAAGGACCCTTAGGATTCCTTAACTCTAACCTAAAAACACTGCAAGGTATCAAATATGAAAGGCATGTAATATGTCACTTCAAAATATTTAAGATAGTAAGTTATGGATAATTCTATATTTAAAAAAAGACAACTTGCTTATTGGCAGCGTATACAGGGGCCAAAACTAACCCAAACTTGTTTTTTTCTGCTGTGACATGGCACCAAGTTTTGTTTAGATAGTACTAAAAACCAAGTATTTGTACATCCTTACATCTGCCCCCAAAAGCTTCTGGCATGTTGTGGACCTAAGTTCACAAGTGAGTTCCTGAAGGGATAATACACTTAACTAGATTTAGGTTTTCAAATATTAAAAACAGCCTTACTTTGCTGTGGAAACAAAATCATTTAGTTCTCCGCCACCTTCTTCTAAGGCTTCTAAGGTTCTTGCTTCTCCTGTGGACTGCAGTCCAATAACAACACACTAAAGAGGAGGAAAAGCGTAAGTGAAATTAATACAAAACTCAGTGACTGGTAAGTGAAAAAGAAGAAAATACAAGCGTGTGGATTTCTGTTTATGTATCTCTTCCAACACTGGCTTCAGAATCATCACACTTTAAACATGTTAACCAGATGAGAAACATTTTTAAAAGGTAATCTCCATGGCTCCATATTTATAAAGGTCTTTTAAACATTTTGAACCAAAGTCAGACTTCAACTGCCTTACCTTTCCATTCTTGATTTCCTCTCGAGCAAGCTGGACTACTCTTTTAACTTTGGATGCTATGCAGAGATACTTGAAAAACCTCTGGTGAGCTGACCAAAACTGACCCCACATAGACTTCTTCATTCGCTGCTCCGCATCAATAAGATCAGCTGCTAGTTGAAATTTCTCTCTGGCGCTTACCCACTGAAGAAATAACATTTAAGTTTAACTTTCAAAGTCATGATTTTAAAGAGACATTTTTTAACATCTAAAGATAAATAAGACCTTTGTCTTTATTGTGGCAGCACTAGACTTGAACAGATAAAACAATGAAATGCAGACAAAAACTGGAATGAGTTAAAGCCATCTGACTTTACGTCTGCCCCCCAAAAGCTTCTGGCATGTTGCGGACCTAAGTTCACAAGCGAGTTCCTGAAGGGATAATACACCATACCCATCTCAAAGTATTTTCTACTTATTACCCAGTTACACTCTGCTGGCACAATTTCTGGCTAATATTTGTTTCTAATACTACTGTATTTACTTGAATTCAAGGCAAGGTCCCCCCTCAATTAACATGGGGGGGCAAGCCTTGCCTTGTATTCAAGTACCAGCTAGGGCAGGCGTGACAGCCCTAGGGTGAAGATGGAGGAGAGCCGCAATCTGCCTCTGGTTGGGGTGGCTCCTGCTGATGGTAAGATTGCCAGGGCCACCATTTCTGGCTGTCCCAGAGCCAGAGCTGCTGGAGAATTTTCCACATATACTATTTAACTGGGAGATGAGGCACCTTGGATTCAGGTAAATATAAAAATGTGTCTGTTTATTGTTTTGTGTTGCAATTCTGAAAAAGATGCTGCGCAACATATATATTTCAGGATTAAATTATAGCTAGATTTCACAAATGGGCTTTTATACATACGTGCCCTCCAAACCTACAAATTTGATCCAGATTATCCAATGGAAGTCACCATTTATACATTAGCACAGAGAACTGTAGAAGTACATGCAGGTCAAGTAAACAGAGAAGACTGCAGTATTAGCTAAGTGAGGTGCATGACTGAATTGCAACTCCTATGTTCTTTTCAACCAGCAGCACAGCTTGTGTGCGCAACTCTTCAGAGGCTCAGAGCGCTTAAACACTTGTCATTTTGCAAAGAAATATTTTAGGCAATGTTTGTGAAGTAAATTCCTCTTTAGGCTTGTTCTTTCTCAAAGAAAATCCTTAAGCCACACAGACTTCATTCCTTTCCTCTGACAGCAAAAGAAATCAGAACTTGTGATAGAAGGTGATCTCTTTAATTAGACAAACTAGATTTTTGCAAAAAATTAAAATAAAAATAATACAAAAATTAAAAAAAAAAATCCTTATTTGCAAGCTTTGGGGCAAAAGCACCCTTCTTCAGGTATAGGAGAAAAGACTGTAAAACTTCTCCTAGTTAGCAATGAAAGTTCATATTTCACAGGGGAGTTGAAGGTGTGTTAAAAGCTGCCAGCAAGGCATGCTGTCTGATCAGGACAGTACTCTTAAGTTTTAACAGCACTGTGATCAAAGTTGTTAAGCTTTCCACTACTACCAGCTTAAACTCGTAAGCCATATTTAAATAAAAATAAAACTCTTACCAGTTTCACAGATTTATTATACATTTTAACGTAGTCCTGTGAAAGTAAAACTTCATCGATTTTGAAGGTCACACCTGAAAAACTCAACTGTCTTGCTATGTACATTCCTCTCAGTTTCATGTCCATAGCAACTATTTCCATGGCACCGACGCCTCTGAACAAAAGGTAAAAAAGTTATTCAAGATTACTGTAAACTCGTCCTACCAGAAAAAAAGTCAAGCAGTTTAGAAATAAATGAAATGAGTGCACTTGGATTATGAAACTAGCATTCTTCACAAACAATATGAACCATTCGTATTAAGTTGTATAAATACTGAAATTAAGAAATACCGCAGGTCAAGGTTTCATGAACAGCTAACTCAACCCTCATAAACATGAGCTATAATCACAAAATGAGTTGCGAAATGTTTATATTATGAAGTGGCACTCATATGAATATTTTGTGGTTACTTCCCTACTTCTTTACTCAATTTCATTGTCAACATTACAAGTTGTTTCATGTAAGTTGCTCCAGAATGTTTTAAATACAGGTGCAAGTTTTACTCTCATTTCTCATTCATGCCAGTGTAAAAAGAACTAAAGTTGTCAGCCAACCAGCACGACAGCTTTTGGGTGCAGCTGGGAGGGGAGGGGGGTACAGAGGAGAATCAACTTTGAATATATAAACCAGATTAATCTCAGATTAGCTTCCATATCACTCCTTCACTGCACAGCTAACGACGTACAAAATATGCTAAATAGACTATTTGCACAAGTGATCTCTGCTGAAAAGGCCTTTTTTGGTTATTTGAGATAACGTACAAGGTCTCAGTTACAGAAAGCTGCTTGATATGTAGCATCTGAAAAACATTATAAGGTAAAGAATGCAAAAAGATTGCTAGTACTATATTTTGTATGGGACTTCCCACCTTTGATTTTTTTAGGAAATTCTGGAGGGTGAATTCAACTGCACATTCCTATGAAATGGGAGATGGCATGATCCGGAACTATCTGCCCGAAAGCCAACAAAAAAACCTGAAAAGACTTCCTTCCACTGATGTTATGGGCTATACAGCAGACCTTCATGACCATCTTCATCTTCAATACACATCATAATTTGTTGCGCACAACAATTCTTGTATGAAGCGTACTGAACAAATACAGACTCTCTTCAGAAAAAAAATTGCAAGAAAACCAGATATCACACACAATGTCCCTACCAAGTTTAAGAACACTCATTCCAACCTTTTCAGTTGTAGAAGATTTAGGGGGCTTTTTAAATCTAAAAATGGGAAAGTATCCAATATTCTGTTCCTGCTCCAATGTATTTTCTTTTTAAAAATTTTATTGGGGGGGAAGAAATCAGAGAAATTTACTTCTACAGCAGAAAACAAGCCTGAAAGATTCAAACCTGATAGTTTCAGGGAACTATGAATGAATTAAATCAGGACTAAAATGGAAACCAAAATGCAACCAGAACTATAGCAGCTTTTGTTGGCATTCTGTATTACCTTCTTTCAACAGCCTGAATGAAGTCACTGAATTCCCTAAACGGGGTTCCTTCACCCCATATTCCAAGGCGGTTCATATATGCCATATTTCGTGGCTCAGATGCACCTGGAAAGAAAAACACATACTGTACCCATGCCAGTGAAAAAGCAATCAGAATTTTATTGTAAATTAATTAGTACCTACCTGTAGCACTAGCATAAACAACTCTAGCCTTGGGAAGTTTATTCTGAAGCTCCAATACAGCCAGACCTGTTTTTGTTGGTTTTGAAGAACCAACCGGACACAGATTCTTTGCTTTGTGACACTCATCAAATATTATCTGAATTTAAATTAAGGAATAAACATTATACCGTTTTTTACTGAATACAGACCAAAATGTATGGATAGCAAGTGAAAGTACAGCATTCACTGTAAACATCAATTCCAGTAATTGGACTGGATCTACAGAAACTTCAGGCAAACAAATTGATTACACCCCAGCAAAAGACTCAATTTTAAACACTCCCCGGTGCACAATTAACATTAAATGCAATGCTTTCATATATATTAGAGTTATTCTTCTTAATACTGTAATTATTCTTTAGGAAAAGGAATATCTATGTAAAACACATTATGCAGAGTTTAACAAAATGTCAGATTCCCAAGACTCTACTCCAGATGCACAACCCCTGTTAAGTAGGCTTCTGATCTTCAAGTGATCTGACCCTTGTTTACATCAATAACTTCAACGCAGCTGACTTACACCAACAGGCTATAAGAATCAGATCATACATAGATCACATTTACATGTCGCATTTTGAGTAAAGCCTGATTGGAAGTGTGTGTCTGAAACTGGTTCAAATTAATGAAGTGTCCTAAAGTAAGTTAAGTTAAAATAAACATGCACAGAACAGCTTTGCTCCCAAAATGTGGTCTTATAAATAGATAATGGTTCAACTACTTCTGTTGAACATCCAGAAACAAAAAGGATACAACTCCATCAAAGTCTTCACCGCACCAGTGAAGAAGCTGCTTTAACCTGGTTTTATATTTACCACCAGATTGACTTTCACCAATAAGAGAAGAGTAGGTGGCAAAAATGACACCTTTCTTCACACTTCCATTGTGTTTGGAAGAAATTTTTCCATACTTAAACTGCAAGGAAAAAAAAGTGCAAGTTATATTTAAGTTACAAACACGTCACGCTGGGACACAATTCAAGGGCAGAGACACCCCCCCCTCCCCCCCAACCTTAGGGAATGTATATAGTGTCGATGACTCCAGTGACAACACAAGTAGATCTCTAGGGACCTATGGGACACTAGTTAGAAGGATACTACGACATCTATGCATCTATGAAACTTTAGTTAGTGCTTCATGGGAAATAGTATCTTTCAGGATCTCAGGATTTTGAATTCGGTTCCCATATAAGGCGATTTTCACAGAGCCAAGGAGTCCGCTTTCATGAACTCGGGATATTTTGGCTTGCATACACCCCCTAGACAAGTGGAAGCCAATCTTTTTGGCAAGCGTGCCACAAATTAGTCCTACACCTCCTGAGTGCCACTCTGATCCTTTTCTCCTGCTTGATTGGCTGCTGTTTTATGCTCCCTGCAGTATTTGCCACCGTGCTGCCTGCCTCCTCCACTGTGCCACTTTTGCTGCCCTAGACAACAGATATACTGTATCTAGGATTGCTGCCAAAAAGCTAACAGCACTTTAGCGTGCATCAGCAGATGCATGACGAACAGAACCAAGGAGGCGATACTTCCCCTCTATCGGGCGCTGGTCAGACCGCAGTTGGAATACTGCGTGCAGTTTTGGGCGTCGCACTTCAAGAGGGATGTGGATAACCTGGAGAGGGTCCAGAGAAGGGCCACACGTATGGCTAAGGGATTGCAGGCCAAGCCCTATGAGGAGTGACTAGGGCACCTACAACTCTTCAGCCTCCGCAGGAGAAGGTTGAGAGGCGACATTGCGGCTGCCTATAAGTTCATCACAGGGGCACAGAAGGGAATTGGTGAGGCTTTACTCACCAATGCGCCCCTGGGGGTTACAAGAAATAATGACCACAAGCTAGCAGAGAGCAGATTTAGACTGGACATTAGGAAGAACTTCTTCACAGATAGAGTAGCCAAGGTCTGGAACGGGCTCCCAAGGGAGGTGGTGCTCTCCCCTGCCCTGGGGGTCTTCAAGAGGAGGTTAGATAGGCATCTAGCTGGGGTCATCTAGACCCAGCCCTCTTTCCTGCTTATGCAGGGGGTCGGACTCGATGCTCTATTGAGGTCCCTTCCGACCCTAACATCTATGAGATCTTAACTTTTTAGAAAATATTTCCTCTTCAGAAAATATATCACAAGATGTAGAATTTTGCATGATACAAGCAACATTCACACAACAAGACTTTCAGCCAGTAGTGTCCCTAAATTGCACATAAGCCTGGAGAGGAATATTTTGGAATTATTATCTGGTCAGGCCTTAATACTGTATATGATTTAGGCATGTGGGTTATTCTCATTGACTTCAGGGGTGAGGTAATTATACGCCTAAAGTTCAGCATTAGTAATGCTTTTTAAGATTAAAAAGCTACAAGGGTAAAAAATGGCAATGTCTCAAAATAAGTTTGAAAAAGCAAGAACAGTACTTATTTTAAACATGCACATCTCATCACACAAGCATACCTAAAGTTTTACCCGAACTGTACATAGTAAAAAGTATCCACACCTTGTTTAATGAATGAACCAAAATATTTTTTGCTCCAATGTCTCTCAAATCTCTTTCAGCATCATATTTCAGATCATTTGACACACTAAACCTGAAGGAAAAAAGTAAAGCATGCAATTTGTAAGAGTACAGCAAAAAGCAACAATCTAAGTTTTTGTCTAATGCCTGCTCCCAGACCATAACTTATCCTGAAATTAAGTACTGCAGTCATTACAAGTTTTTCCTCAACTTACCATACTGCCCTTTTTCTACCCAATAAGTAATTTTCGTAGATTATTCCAGCTATGGTCCTTCCTTTTCCTACACCAGCACCATCACCTATCAAGAATCCAGCTCTGTCTCCATTGGGCAGGAATGTCTCATGTTGCTGTGAAAGAAAATATATTTTAATTCCTACAACACACCTCTACAAGTTGTTTAGCCAGAAAAGAAAATGTGCAAGTCAGGGGTCACCAGCTTCTTCAAATAGCAGGATGGACTGACCCAGTTCAGCTGCACAGGAAGAGACCCCACTGTTGCTTTTCCCTGTGGTAACAAGGAAAAGCAACTGCTGTTGAAGCTCTCCACCACTGTGGGGAAAAGCCTCTGATCTAAACTGGGTCTACCCGGCTGCTGAAACTGGATCAAATGTTTCTGTTGGCTGGATCTGATCCACTGGCCAGAGGATGCCAGCCCCTGATGTATGTTATGTTCAGCCAATTACACAACCAATTCCTGATGGTAATACTTAATCCACACGTCTTTAAAATCCAAAGTTTTGGGGGTTTTTTTTAAGTACTGTACAGCAACATACCTGGGCTGCATAAGTAACTGCTTCAAGTTGTAATGCTGACAACCAACCATTATCAATAGTTTCTTCAGATATTGAGGTCTGATACCACACCTCTGGAGGAGTTACACTTGATAACGAGCTGGTTTCTACTACTGGATCAGGATGACGCAGTCCAATTTTTACTGCAAGAGAAAAAAAAGCTCTAAACACGATTCATACTGGTTATTATAAGTTATTTATTTTAGAAGTCAACACCATAATTTCAAGAGCTTGGTCACTTCAGGTTATATTTTAGGGTAACTATGATCCCTCCCCTTTGATCTTAGGAGCCCCGTTGTTCTTATGAGTATAGAGAAAACAGTACTTTTTTTTTTTTTTTTTAAGGATAAGGGCAGGCATCAGTATAAGGAGGCAACTTGTGACAAGGAAATCTGTTTGCTCCATTTATGGAATGTGTTTTTATGACAACATAACTCTGCTTTATCAAAAATCCTCAACATTTTGATACTTTTGAGTAGTGGCTCTGACCCCCAGGGGCCTTCCATCACAGAACACCTCAAAGGACATGGGTCACTAGGAGTAGAATTTTTCTGCTACATGAATACCAATATGTTACAAATAACACTCCTGTCATTTTTAACTTATACAATGTTACCTTGTTACACGACTGCATCAGGACACAGATTGTGGGAAGAGAAAAGATAAAGAACCAGGCACAATTTAAGATGAATCAGTGATTAAAACGTACGCATTGCTGGCCAGGGCAGCAATATCATTATTCATGAAGAACGAAGTTGTAAGAGGAGAGAAAGATGCGTAAAAAAAAGCAAACTTCAAGGAGTACAAGAGCAGAAAGTTTTAAGAAGGCTTGTGAGAACTACACATATATGCTAACACAAGGGCTGCCAGGAGAAAGCTTCAAAAGTCAAAGTTCACCAAGGTACTGTACAATTTAGTTATAAGTGCTCACTGCAAAAGTCTCTTTGCTATTTATGGAAGTCTGAAATGCAGTTTGTTACTTTACTTTTTTTTAAACACACTGGATCATGCATTAAAATTCTGCTTTTTCATTAATGAACTACAGTAAAAACAGACCTGGGATCTCAGAATCTGTTGTGGCCAAGTTGGTTACAATGTACTTAGAAGGTGTTGCTTCACACTAAAGTCTCCAAAATTGTATTATGCATCTTTGCTATAAAGCACATGGCTCTTAAAAATCATGCAGTAAAACAAGGGTGCCTTGCCATCTGTGGTCAATAAAGTTAAAATCTTTAGCAACCTAGTGCCACTGTGCCATTTACATCTCTCTCAGATTAAAAATAGCGAACAAAGTGTATTCAGTCAGTCCCCTTCCGGTTTTTTGCAACAAAAAGTTTAGTTTCAATCTGCAGATCTTTAGTTTCAATCTGCCCATTCAGGTCCCCTTTTTGTTATTATAGATTATAATTAGAAAATCTATTACTTATAATGTTTCTCTAGATTTTATTTAACATGGGTACTATTGTTTAAAATTAGTTGCAGTTTTTACTGTAACCATACGTTTTATTGGCATATATTCTGCATATGTTTCTGCATGACCCATTTCTTCTTCATCTTCCTCCTCAGGTTCTTCTTCCTCTTTTACAGATGGCACTTTCTACAATACAAATATACCCATGTTAATGTATGATATACTGGTGATACTCAATCCTATAAACAAACAAACGTGCAAGTCAGTGCTAGACTATTAGCCTGGGACATCACCATTCAGTTGCATAAGAATGACCTAACTGCACTAGAGAGCAGTACGAAAATTACAATATTTACTAAGTCTTAGCCAGTATATTCTTTTTAAAGCATCTGTCTTCAGAGAGGTCTCATTCCACTGAAAAGAAGCATCACTGGAAAGGGACTCAAAAAGGACTTCAGCTCCCTTTTTTCTACCAATAGGCCAAATGCTCTGCAGCACTACAAACCTATGCTGGCATAGAAAGTGAAAGAAAAAATAAGCCAGCAGAGCTGAGCTCTGCAGCTAAGTCAGTGGATAAGCATTTTTATATACAATGCACCTATAGCTGTAGAATATGTTAAAAGGGATTGTCTTTAAAATTTGAAAGGTCATGAACATCCATCAAAAAAAAAAAGTTGACAGCTTTCAAGATAGCTATATAGTATCTCTCTCAGTGGTATTCTCCATCCCTCCCAAATAAGCAACAATTGGCCATTGTTTTCCTAGGGCTTTAATTATTAGAGTTCAAGTTATTCTTCCCCCCATGCCCTCCACCCCTGCAACAAATATTGTTCAAGCCACAAGTTAAAAACCCTTCACCACCAATTTAGATCCTTGATATCAGAGGAGTTACTTAAAACTGCTTCCAGGTGCCTTGCATTATGGAAATACATTGAGATCACAAAACCACCACTCATTTTAACCCAGTTCTCAGTGAAGAAAGGTTTAAGTGCAGAGCTTCCAACAGCATTAGTGGATAACTTGCACTAAATCCCCAGTACATCATTAGAAGATGATGCTCTGGATTTATATTGTAATCCAGCATAATGCAAGAGGCCAATCCTGTTGGAAAAGTATCTGCTTCAGATTGCAGAGATCTGCACATCTTGTGAGACAGGGATAAAGCAATTTTCAAAAGCAGCCTAGGAGTGCTGCTCCTCAGTTTTAGTCAGATAAGATTCAAAAGATGTCTTCCATCACAAACAAGGGTGTCATCTGAAGATATCGGAACTTCAAGAGGCTCCCATGTAGCTCAAGCAAACCGTGCTAGACAGCTGGCAGCATGGTCTGCTTCCCAACTACTAGCAAACAGCAATTTCCCCTACAGAATGAAATGTATAATTTCACAGATATGCAGAGCTCAGGAAGTCTCCATGTCTGCCTGGAACTATATAGAGAGAACTGGGGCTACTTAAACATAAGTTAATTTAAGAAATTGTATCCGTTTATTGACAGTACTCACCATAGTAGGTGAAAAGCTTCGCATTTTCATATCATTTATCCATATTCTTGCTACTTCTTTTGTAGAAGCCTCCTTCTTTACAGAACCATTGCTTACATCAGCTAAAAAAAAAAAAAAGTTGCAATTTAGATGTTCCATTATATTGAGTTATAATACCCTCTTCCACCTCCACTGATATAATGGAAAAAAAAAAATCTGAAGTCTTTGACAACATACAGATACCCTTAAGAACACTACCAATATATTTAGCCATAAATCTCTGCACATGCTTAAAATTAGTTCTGGTACTGCTTTTAAAAGAAAAATGTGTACTTAAATAAAATGTATTAACCAGTGCCATAATGAGATACGTGAGACTTCTTTAATACACCAAGAGAATATACCTCCACCGAGCTATGAAATAATTGATTCCATCTTATGTGCGAGTTAAGACAGTTTAAGAAACCACAAACCCAGTGTTGTTGATTATGTGCTCTTACCTGGTTTGGTGGCATTTACCACCTTTGGAGACACTACAATTATTTCTGCAAGAAAGTCAACATTTTGGACTTAATTATTTTCATCTATATGAGTGGAGAGCAAAGTTAAAAACGTAAGTTCTTTTTGTATGGACAGACTTTAACTGAGACATTTCAAAGAGTCAGCCGGAAAAAACACACGTGCCCTGTAAAAATTTCCGAAGCAGCTGAAGCACTCCAAAACAGACTTCTTAAAATGAGGAGCTACTTGAAGAGTTTCATTTCTGGTTATGTATGCCTGGGGACTTGTAGATCTTCCAATATTCCACAGTGCTCCAGTTGTCCTCCCCCACCCCTACCCTCAAATCCACAGGGGAGAAGAGGAGAACTGGGTGGATAAATTATCTGTTCAGCCACTGGGTTACACTCCATGGGCCACCTGCCACTGCCAGGTGTTCTGCCCCAAACCCTTTACCTCTCTGCTCAAAGGAGAGGAGAGGTTCTAGGGATATGGGGCTGGAATCCCTGTGGTGGAAGCCATGAACTACCACCACAGATTTTTCCTCCCCACACCAGACCTGCCAATGGGGGTCCGGGCACTAGGAGCACCCTTTGTATGGGAATCACTCTGAGCACTTGGAGTGGTCTTGGCACTTGACTGTACTCCTGTACTTCTCTGCTCCAGACATGCACCCGACCCCATGCTGCCACCGTAGCCTAGCTTGCCAGCATGCAGTCTCCCTTGCCTCTCTGCTCCTGGGGGACAGGAAGGACTGGGGTTCAGCAGATTTAGGGCTGGAGAGCCAGTTACCCCAGAAGTGGGACATCCCCACTGCCACTAAAGACTACCACATGCTCCCCCAAGCCCCATGCTAGATCCTGTGCCTGCCTCCATCCCTGAAGCCTCCTTTAGCATCCCTGGCTAGACAGCAAGTGGCTACATATGCCCTTAGCCAAGGGACAACAAGGGCTACACATCCCCATGTGAAACACTATCCTTTTGAAAGTGGGTTACATTTTGACACATTTCAAAAGTTACTTTTAAAGGGGCAGAAACAAGGGTGTGGGCAGGAGAGGTAATAACACCACCACTAAAAATTGCACACAAGTAATAAAAATGCCCCACTCAAATCTTCTGCTGTAGTAAAACTTTAGCAGCTCTATTATATACTTCTTCAGAAATGCCACCAGAGAAAAGCAGTTCCTTGAGACTCCATGTTTAGAAAGCACAATTCTTGCCCCCCTCCCTAAGCTTTTTAGCAAAAGATATGTTACCAAGCTACAATCGCTGTAAAAGGATGTGCTACTGTTTGTATGAGCTACATTTTGCACGCAACTGCCAGACAGACTGACAGCAGCAAAGGTGTTCAGACTATGGCTGAGTTTACAACAGAAATGGCTGCCTTGATTAAAATCATTTTCATTTTAGGGGCAACTAAGTAATGCTAAAGTGAGTTTCTGCCCTCTGATCCTCCTTTCAATATTTGACAGTGGCTTAAATTCTTTAAAAAACACTGGGTACTGGAGAATCCAGCTGTGGAAGCTTCATTCTCAAGGGGCTGTAAACTTGACCTGCTGTTCTCCCAACTTTACTAGTGGAAGCACATCTTTACCTTGCAACTGTGACTCAAGACAGACGTTCTGAAATATAAAAACACTAGTGGGGGGTGAAATGAAGGATAATGTATTCAGGTGAAACTGCCCAAGGAATACAAGCAATGAGAATAATCATCCACAAGGGAATGACAAACTGTCCACCTGGGATCACTGAAGAGCTTACGATGTGCTTCAGCAGTGAAGTCACCCCATTTTTTTTAATCCCATCAGAAAGAGGTCACCAACTTAATACAACAGGGTACAGTTTCATGGCAAGTGTCACCCTTAAATTCTGAATGCATGTGGATTTTACTTACTATTTTACTTAAATAAGCTGCATCCTGTTTAATATGCAGGATAACAGCTCAACATGGTATTTCTGTGGGAGCACCAAGCCTCATTCAGACCTCACCTTAGTAAGAACTTTTGCAACATTTGAATCAGCCAAACTGGATACCAGAATTAAGGTGCATTAAAAATGCCTCTGGGCAGAACTTTTTATTTATTTACAAGTTGTAAATATCATGATTAAACCTAAAAAAAGATTTGTGGTATAAAGACTGTATTTAAAGTGTTATTCATTGCTCAAATATTTATGGTCTCTGAAACCTCCTGGGCTCCACTTACATTTGTTTCCACCCCCCGTCCCCAAACATCTTCCAGCTTGTGCAGAAAGCTTTATGATCCATGTTATTTATTTGGTATACTGGCAGGCCAGAGAATTCTCTTGTTCTAGAGAGGTTGGAAGGTGTCCGATTTTGAAATACGGATGTGGTTGCCTACATCCATCATGCTATGTTAATACTCTATCCTGTTCCTTTGTTCCCCTCCTCCTTCTCCATCATGGGCTATTGTTACCACATATCAAAGTAAAATGTATTAAAATTGGGTACTGCATTGAATACCAAGTCCATCTCAAGCGTCCTGCATGTTTCCCTTTTCTTACTTTTGTTTAATTCACACTTCGTTAGCTTTAGATTTCTTAAGACCCCTGCTCCTCACTACCAAATCACCTGTATTTTCATTTAAAAAACACTCATTGCTAAACCTAGAAACTGATGCTATTAGAGATGCTGACACTTACAGGTCCTGTAAGAAGTTTATGCATATACTATTAGGAAAAGCAACTTTAGAAGAAACACTCAACAGCAGTCTGAAAATTTAACTGTCCATTACGACACTACAGCAGCCAAAAGATTAGATCAATAAATATAATTTGCTTGCTTTGTGCAGCACTGGGGTATACAAAATTTTACTGTTTTCCCATTATTCAGGTTTCCCTTTCGGAAAAGACTTCCATTTAGTGGAAATATTAAAAAGGGGATTAGAGAAAAAGAATTAAGACTCCAGGAAAGCATTTTGAAATTCTTTAAGTAAGGGATGTCAAGGTCATTTGGCCCTGCAACCCACCTCGGAACTGTGGGCCTTCTTACAAGCCAGACAATCCCCAACCTCAGCAGGACAAGCAGCAACAACTGCATTAACCCCCTGGGTGCTGACGCTAGACAGTGGCTCTAGCAACTGTGGAGGTTAACACCATCAGTCCCACTGCCACAGAACTGTAACCCCACCAGGGATCTAGACCCAGGAATTTAATGGCGGAGAAAGCAATAGTGGCATCAATCCCTTGAGTGCGGGCTCTGACACAATAGCGCTGGCAGCTGGTGGGGTTAATGCTACTCTCGTTCATTCCACTAACAAGTTTCTGGCACAGCAGGTCAGATCCTGAGGCAGGGATTTCAGCCATGTTTCTGACAATCCTGCTTTAAAGTCACTAATGTCCCCATAAGGATTAGTTATGGCATCAGGAAGAATTTTCACAATATGAAAATCCACAGATCTAGTCTGTAGAGAACTTGCAGACACAGAAACCACCCCCAAGTAGTTCAATTATCAGGGCCAGCACTTTAAATCTCTGGTCATTATCCTACTTCAGGATCTCAGACATTTCTGCACGTTGTATCTCCCAGTATTTGCTGCTTACAATTTAAATAGCCCTGCAATAATTTTTCCTGGACTTCGAAGAGTATTAAAAAAGCACTACAAATCAACTGGCCACCACCACAATCGAGTTCTGCATCTGACACAAACAGGGCCTGATGTGTATTCCTCCCATGAAATAAGCAGATTCTCAGTTTCTCCTTCTCAAAGTTTTAAAGCAAGGCTGTCCAACTGATGGCCTGCAATGAGTGAAGTTGCAGGCTCTGGAATCATTGCAGCAGGGAGGGGAGAGGAAGGGGAAGTACTCATGCATGTGCAAGCTGCAGCCCAGGGTGGGAGTGCAGGTACAAGGTGCAACGGGAGTGGGGGGAATCTATGCAGTGTGTAAACCATGACCACCACTGGTACAGCCAGTGGGGTGCAGGGTTGGATAATGCAACTTGCAGAGTGTGTAACCCCCGACCACTTGGAAGGTGGACAGCCCTGCTTTACAGAAACACAGATAGGGTCAAAATACCAACACGTTCTACAAGTCTCCATCTGTGAAGAAATTAAAAAAAAAAGAAAAAAAGACAAACACACAACTAAGCGTACAATGGCAACACTCATACTACGGCAAGGAACAAATGAGATGACAACGCATGTTCAAGCACTGCAGGTATACCGTAAATGTAGAAGGCAGCAATAACTGACTATAATAAGCACATTACCAATGTTAATCATCTACCCGCTGCTTATTGCTAAATTTTAGGGCTGAATTCAGGGTTCAGGTTTTTTAATAAAGTACATTATATGCTGCTCCCTCCACAATTTCAAGTAGCTGAAATCTAACATGCGAGTCTTAATGAAATCTGAATGTTACCACAACCTACTCTTTTGGGATGTGCACTAAACAATTATCTCCACATTTCTATAATAGTACTTATAGAAAAACTCACTTGCTGCTGTTGCAACTGGCTGGGCTATGTTAGGAGGTGGCTTCAGTTTCATTAGTTCATTAAGACTATTGTTTTTGAGCAGATCTTTCAGCTGGATCTGGTCCTTTGAAGGAGTAGGGGTCAAGGCACTGCGTACTGCTGGTGCTGCAACCGATGGTCGAGTAGTTGTGCTGGTCTGTATGATTTTCGCTACAGTGATAGTCTGTCTGGTAGTTGTGACAGGTGTGGTTTTTGTCATTACTATTGTAGTCCCCAAAGTTGGAAGCTGATTTATTTGATTCAGCACAAAGGTTGTAGTTGATGGAGGTTGCTAGAAGAAAGAAAAAAAAACAAACAAAGACTGTCCTGTTTGGGAAATAACCGCTAAGATTTTCCATGAGACAATACTCAATAAAACAAAACTTACACTAAAGTATTTCAGCTAGAGACGGGAATAACCAATTCAAAAGGAGTCAATGCTGGGAACAGTGCGGGGAAGACAGGTGTCAATATTCTCTTTGTATCTCACAACTAGCAGGGACCATTTACAGTATTTCAGAACATGAGTCCAAGCAAGAAGCTTCCTCAAAAGCATGTGCTAATGTGTGGTTTCCTGGATTTCTTCAAGAATTTTTTTTCTAAGAAGGAAAGGATCTCATCCCCCCCCAACAAAAAGTACAGTTGCTGTGTGTAGCAAACTGGGCTGGAAAGCCATACAACACACTGAACAAATTATGCAGTTAGGATATAAATCAAAAAGTAACAGCTATTTATAAAAAAACTGTTCCTGTGCATTCTTTTTATACACCCTACCCCTCAGATGCCGATCATACTTCTATGCTAGCATTCTCATTTCAAGGAAGATATGAACATTCATTTTGATAACTGCCATTCTTCTTGATAAATCTAAAATTTTCAAGATCCTAATGCAGGACAATATACAAGCACCAATTGCTTAGGTGAACAGTTTCTATGCTCAGAAGATAGAAGTCAAATTGGGCTCATTTTTAAACAATGTTTCCCTTTTAAATTTGACTTTCTCCAAGAGATGGCCTCTCCTGCACTTCATAACAACCCAGAGGGATGTTCAAAAGTGGGGAACAAAATAAAAGAATGTTTTAATGTCTTAGAGATTATATTAAAAGATGACAGCAAAGTTGGTGTTTGTATAGGCCTTCCTCAGCTATACACTTTCCTATTATAAACATACAAAACCCTGAATATGCCAGTTCTTACCCTGACATTTAGTACTGCTGGAGTAGATACAGCCTCTGGTTCTTGTTTAACAGCAGCTGTTGCCTCAGTCTCCAAGCCTAGGTCTAATGCACTAAGTGGCACTGACTGGAGAGAAAGAAAGCGAGCATGATCAGGCACTAATCTGAGCAGAGGGAGGGGGAAAAAGAAAATCTTCAAATATCCACCCATGAAACTGAAACTAATAACTAATTCCTTTGCTTTGCCCACTAATCCTAATTTCATTAGCGATAAGGATTGTAGAGTATCTCGTCATCAAGTTAGTGCCCAAAACTGTTCTGAGTACAAAGCTTTCCAGCTAACTGCTATGAAAATTTTAATTTGTTTGGCCATCTCATTTCTATTTGATAGACTATTGTTCTCTACTCTGGTGTTTGAAAAAAAAAGTTACGTTCTTGTTGAGTGAGAGTTGTCATGGAGATTAAACACCCTATTAAATTAATTCTTCCTCCTGTTAAGTGTAGTTCCACTGTCCTAAAAGTAGCAATGAAAGTTCTGCATGGATACAATCACCTAGCTGGGGTCGTTTGACCCTAGCATTCTTTCCTGCCCATGGCAGGGGGTCGGACTTGATGACCTGCTTAGGTCCCTTCCGACCATACCAACTATGAAACTATGATATACATCATGGTATGTCTCTTTAAATAATGGAAAAGTCAGCTAAGGATTAAATTAATAAATTATACACTTTGGATGCCTACAAATACATATTTAAGGCAGAGTACCAACTCATTTTCTTTATATACAAGCTCCGTATACCACAGCAATGAGAACATACAGCATGTTCATATTCTTTTAACAGTTAAAGAGTATGGTTTTCCTTGAGTATAAGAAATGCATGATCCTATATCATTTAACATCACCCAATTATTTAAAGTGTCTTGTTTTTA